GTACCGCATGGGGGGTGCGGTAGTACCGCGCGTGCGGAAGTACCGCCCCCAGCTCCTGCGCGTCTGTTTATCTTTACTGTCGCTGGGGTTGCGGCAGTACCGTGTGTTGGTACGGTAGTACCACACAGTCGTGCGGTAGTACCGCTTGGTTGCAAGAAGTAGTACCGCGCGGCCTTGCCGTAGTACCGCTGGCCAGGCACGGTAGTACCGCTGGCCGCAGGCTGGTTGGTGGGTAACGGTTGGATCCTTTTCCCACACTATATAAGGGGTCCCCTTCTTCCCCGTTGACTTACCTCTTCCACCCAAGCTCCATTATTGCTCTAAGCTCCATTTTCGCCCGATCTCACTCCCTAGCCGACCAAACTTGTTGATTTGCTCAGGAGTGGTTGAGAAGGCCTCGATCTACACTTCCACCAAGAGATATTTGATCCCCCCCACTAATCCCTTGCGGATCTTGTTAGTCTTGGGTGTTTGAGCATGCTAGATGGTTGAGGTCACCGCAAAGCCATAGTCCATTGTGGTGAAGCTTCGTGGTGTTGTTGGGAGCCTCCAATTGAGTTGTGGAGATTGCCCCAACCTAGTTTGTAAAGGTTCAGTCGCCGCCTCCAAGGGCACCAATAGTGGAATCACGGCATCTCGCATTGTGTGAGGGCGTGAGGAGAATACGGTGGCCCTAGTGGCTTCTTGGGAAGCATTGTGCCTCCACACCGCTCCAACGGAGACGTACTTCCTCTCAAAGGGAAGGAACTTCGGCAACACATCCTCGTCTCCACCGTCTCCACTCTTGGTTATCTCGTGCCTTTACTTGTGCAAGCTTATTTGTTTCATATATCTTGCTTGCTTGTGTTCCTATCCTTGTTGCATCATATAGGTTGCTCACCTAGTTGCATATCTAGACAACCTACTTTGATGCAAAGTTTAAATTGTTAAAGAAAAGCTAAAAATTGTTAGTTGCCTATTCACCCCCCTCTAGTCAACCATATCGATCCTTTCACCATGCTATGCTCGTAGACGTGGTTTGGTTTGGGTGATCCATGACAGATGTGAGATTGTTAATTAATGGTTAACTTAAGGTGGCTACTTAAATACACATCTGGGTGGATTGGTTGCGGGCACCTGGGGATATACCAGTGTCGTCCTTTGGTTCGCCACCTAGGCTCAAAGGGATCATAAGATTATTCATGCTAGAAACTTCCGTGTGCAGCCACAAGCTATTATGGGTTCTAGCATAGTTGAGTATGTTGTATGACCTCTTTCAGTGAGAGGCTAGCAGATGTAGGGGAAAGTAGGTGTAACTGTCTACCCAGAGTAAAGAGTTAATGCTTCTGAAAGACTGTGTCTCGGTCATCCGTTTCTCAAACACCATGTAGTGCGAGAAATCCAACGGAGGAGATCAAGTCTTGTGGGGAAAAGTGCGCAAACCTCTGCAGAGTGTACAAACTAATCATGGTTAGCCGTGTCCCCGGTTATGGACATCTTGTGTATCTGGTTATTGAATTATCATGTTGATCTCATCACTCTAAATTAATTTGTTGGGTTGTTAACTACTGTTTAATTGGGATTGAGATGGGGTTACCATTCTCAATGTTTATCAACTACCATGATAGTTAAACAAAATATATTCCTTTGTTGTAGGAAAAAATTGGCTTTTCGCAAAAACATGATAACCATAGAGCCTCCACCAACCATATATGCATGTAGTGATAGAATTTACTTGTTCATTGCTCTATTGTGTTATCTTGCCAGCATATTCCATGTGCTGACCCGTTTCGGGCTGCAACATATCACGTTGCAGACTTTTCAGACGAAGAGTAAGGTGCGCTAGGTCATTTGTCGTGCACTCAGCTATGCCGTTGGAGTTGATGGACTCACTTTATCTTCCAAGCCTTTCGCTGTTATCTTATTTAGATGGCCTTAAGATATATTATTGTAATAAGTTCTCTTGTGAGACATCGATGTAATAAGTGTGTGATTGCTACTCTATTATAAATCCTTCGAAGTACTGTGTGTGTCAGCATTACCGATCTAGGGATGACACTTATGCACAGAGATTTGACCATCTGAGGTCGGATCGCTACAAGCCTCATGCCAAGTTCTGCTGATATGATATCTCCTTCTGGGTAGTAGACAACCCTCATAATTCTTGCACTCAATGAATTAGGTTCCTCGAACAATCGCCACGCCTTCTTAGCAAGCAGAGAAAGATTTAAAAACTCCATATCTTTAAAGCCCAAACCGCCCATATGCTTCAGCATAGTTAATGTATCCCAAGAAACCCAGTGTGGCTTTCGTTTTCCTTCCTTGCTTCCTCACTAGAACCTCCTTATAGGTAAATTCAGATGCTCACATAAACCCCTTGGCAGTTTAAAACAAGACATGGATTCAGTAGGTACAACCTGTATGAATGACTTAATCAAGATCTCTTTGCCCCCCGCTGATAACAGGAGCTCCATACATCCCTGGATCTTACCCCAAACACTATCCTTCAAATATTTGAAAGCACCATTCTTGGGCTTCCCCACATCAGTTGGCATTCCCAAGTATTTCTCTAAGAGATATTCATCTGATACATGCAACACACTTTTCATAGAAGCTCGCATATTGTTAGGGCAACCTTTGCTAAAATGATTTGAACACTTGTCATAGTTCACCCGCTGTCCAGATGCATTTCAATAAGCATTAAGTACTTGAACCATCTTAGTCGCTCCCTCCACATTTGCTCTAGCAAATAGCAAGTTGTCGTCTGCAAATAAAAGATGATTGACTAGGGGTGTTGTAGGCGCCACAAGGATGGCTGACAAATTTTCTGATGCCCCCCTGCTCCTCTTCAAGAGGCATGACAAACCTTCAGCTGCTAACAAGAACAAATAAGGTGAGATAGGGTCTATGAATTGTTGAAATCCTGAATTATTTGAAAAAAAAGAAATGGGAAAAAAAACAAAATGAGAAAAACAAGGGTGTCTCGCCCGCACACGGGCCGACCCAAAAGAGCACGCTGGGCAAGCGGGGGATGAGACTCCTCTTCTCAGCATTGGGCAAGCAGTGTTTGGCTGGTGTCATGGAAGAGGCCAAACATTGAACATGTATTTTGATGTCTTTAAAGATCTCGTCACTCCTCACACATAGTGGCAATACCATTTATATGTTTCTTGAAATGCATCGCTAGCTCCCACATCGGCAATCTCATGTGCCACTACATGAAGACGTCATCGAGCATGAGTGACAACTTGTTGGGGAATAACTCTTTCTTCAATTGTCATCCAGGGCATTTTTTGTTTAGACTATTTGATTCATTCAGACCATTTCTTGTGTTTGAATTTGTATTTGAATAACTTAAAAACAATAAGCTAGAAATGTTATCAAAATGCTATTAAAATGTAACCAAAACGAATATCAAGTTTGTAAAGAAAGTGAGAAGTAGCAAAAGAAATAGTTTACAGATTTAAGTTTGTGGACCGGTTAGATTGCAACCTAAGAGTTATAAATAGGAATACTCGAGACAGGCTGCCTTTCCAAGCTATAAGTCGGAGTGGCCGGCCAAAGCAAGACTCTCAAGAATATACCGAAACCACTAATCTCTTGCTTCTTCACGGTGATCAGATTGGATTACTCTTGACATGTTTATACCTGGAAACTTTGTGTGCACCATAGACATATTGAATTAATGTCATAAAGCAAGCCCTACGGTACCTACCAAACTAGACTTCAGAAGAACACAATATGTGACACATCTCTTGTTCCGTCAATAAGGTTTGAACCCTCAAAAGCAGGTGGTCTAGGCGTAAAGACATCAATGTTCAAAATATTTACCTTGTCCTCGAATACTTTAAAGGTTTTGCGTTAAACATTTCTACCATGGAGATACTGGCTATTGCACCACTCACCTTTTTCTGTCTCCCAACCATCAAACACATCTTGATTAGGTGGCCTCATCCACAAAAAACACATACACCATTAGACAAATTGCCCAATGCAAGGTAAGAGACAATATGTCCACCTATTCTTCTTTAGGCACGTGGGTACCACCTGGGCCGCATACCCGTTGCTTCAGTTCCGTCACGTCCACCAAAATGCGTTCATCCAAATATGTGATCCATCATATGTCGTCACACCCTCCCTGCCTTGCCCTCGAATGTTTTGACCTACTCCAATCGGCAGCGAATCGCAACAACACATGTTGTCATTGATGTGTACTTTACCTAAAATTTAACCATTTTGAAAATAGAATAATTTGATTTCATTTTATAAGATGCTAAAAAAAATCTACTCACAACTAAGCGGAAAAGACGAAAGAAAACAATAAAAATAGAAAACCATAAATAAACGAATAAACGCCCACTGCATCACGTGTGACACATGTCGCCATGGGAGGATCCTCTCTCACCTATCGTTCATAGACATTCCTATAACCGAAGAAAGTATTTGATGAAAACTAAGTTGCAATGAAAATTTCATAGAAACCACAGTTTAGTGCTTTCCAAAGAATTCTCTTGAAAAAATACGATATGGCAGAAAGGTCATGTGCTATAAAATTTTGAATTTGAGGTTCAAACTACAATATCTTTGAGAGCTAAGATTTTTTTACATTAATAGTGATGCACCGCCTGTCACTCTTCATTGCTTGGATTTTCTTTCTTAAACCTCCCAAAGGATTTTGATTGTGCACTTTAGTTTTTGCACATGTCTGTAGAATATCACCTCCCAAATATACTTCAAGAACTTTTTAGAAACTTTTAAATACAATGTATATTTAGTTTTGCCTTGTTTCTAGTTCTTATCAGGCATATATTTCTATGGATATACCGTGGGTGATCGATTATATCTTTTTGAAGACATTCGCACACTGAAGGGACAGCTCTAAAGATATTATTATTGCCTTATGGATACATCGGGATTTTCTTCAAGCAAAGCAACGCTACATATTGGCGTACACCTTATGTGTACATTTATAGCAGCGCCTGCGCCTGCGCCCGACGAGTTTGCCAGCCGCACCGGCACCGCTAATATCCTTCCGGCGGCGGAGGGACCACCGACCGCAGGAACTCCAGCTCCTCTTCGGTGACCGTCACTGGCTGTCCAGGCGGCAGGAACGATGCTATCGCCGGCGGCGCAGGAGGGCGCGCCCCGCGGCTGCTCCTGCCACGGGCGATGTCGTACTCGCGGTAGCCTTGGAGGTAGGTCTGCATGGGCTGGACGTAGCTGTCGAGCCCGAGGCTCTGGCAGGACCAGGTGAAGTCCTCCGGCGCGACGGTGCGGCGGTGCTCCGACCTGGCCCGCTCGGACGCCTCGCCGCCGACGAAGCCGACGAACTCGACCGCGCAGTCGTGGGTGAGCTGCTTCGCGGTCTCGGCGATCTTGACGTTCGACGGCAGCACCCGCCTCATCAGGCGCACGACGTTGGCCATCGGCAGCGCGCTGCCCCCCTCCGCCGCCGGGTTCTCCGCGTCGCCCTCGCCGCGCTGCCCACCTGAAACGCAAACCAGTGACAAAACTACCATGAACAGCTAGTAACTCTGGTTTTGAACGTGACGTAATCTCCCGGAGCAGTTCCATACCACGTTTCTTGCTGCTTCCTCCCATCGTCCAACCTGTTACTCACTTTACTTACTCACTTACTCAGTGTGTGTGCGTCGTGATGGGATGGAAGCGGCTTGTGGCCTGGGCACCTGCATTTATAGGCGTCCGCGGGCTGGGCTGCGCCAGCCTGGACGCACGTGCCATTCCAAGGTGCATGGTGCCGCCGTGGCGCGAGGAGAACGAGTTGAGGCCGCCACATTGCAGCTCCGGCGAGCCATGCAGGCGTTACCGGCGGGCTTTAGACTCGACACCCCCGCGCCGGTGTGCTCCTTTGTTCGCTTCTCACCTGCGGGCAGGGTCGCCGGCGAGGAAGCACATCAATGCGCTGCACAGGCGTTCGCAGTCAAATCTCTTTTTATCTTTAGCAAGCGGTTACTGTCTGGGTGGTAACTGAAGAGAGGAGGACGACGTAGTACGTCAACGAGGCGGGGGTGGTTGGGGGTACGCGCCGATGTGGGTACGTAGGCGTTGGGCGTCGGCGCGTCCCGTTGCTCGCGTCCTCCGTCCGCTGCAGCCTGGAAATTAAGAGGTCGGACCGCTTGCGTAGTTGACTAGTGCGTCCTCCTACGCAAGTTTTGAACATGAACCGCACTATCTGCCCCCCTCGCCTCAATTTCAATTTATATTCCGTTTTTTCAGATTACTATACTATGAGCATGAACTTGCGTATTAGGAAATCAATGAATCAATTCATATACTGTGAGCATGTATGATTAGTGGTTCAGCGAGCCAATGCACTAAGGCTAAATCAATAGGCTAAACAACCCCTCTTTAGTCCACTTTATTATATATGAACAGATTTTCTAATTAACAAATAAAACTAAACAGTGAGGTATTATTGTTCTAATCTGGTTTTTATTCATAATCTGCTCATTATTGTGCTATAAACAATGAGTATGACGTTTTATGGACATTTAGTGAAGTCTCCATAATTTCACTAGTACTATTGTAAGAAAGATTCCACCACTGGTTGAATCGGATTATATCAGTATACATTTATCATGGCAATATTTTATGATTGTTTATTTTAAAACTACTACATCCTTTCTGGTTTAAAGGTCTAAAATGCCTGCATGTATCCCTAGATCGTCAATCTGAATAATGTATTACACCTTATATATCACGAATATCCACCATTAGAAACTTCAAAAGTTATATTTCCTAATAGTAGTATAACTATTGTGAGATAAAATTTGTATTACATTGGTCAAATTGTTGATCTAGGGATACATGTCAGCCTTTTAAACTAAAAGGAGGGAGTAGTAGCGTATTTGACGAGGGTCAAGGTGGCATCTTGGAGACCGTGTTCATGTTATTGGGGGTTTTGGTGGAGCATCCATTATACTTGCTTTTTAAATGTATAGCCAGTGAAATATTTATCACATACGACAATGCTTGGCGGATACTAGTAAACAATTTATATTAATTTCACATATGCAAAGAATATATCCTATTTAATGTACACATTAAACAGTTTCAAACTTATAATATGGTGCATATTAATTTACCTATCCTATATTATAAGGCACATGTTTTGCGTGATTATTTTTTCCAACTTTCGGTCTTGAAATCCTTGAAAAGAATATCTAACTGCCACATGTATGAAACCTTTTATGAGCATAACATAACATCTGGATGTTCTTCATCTTCATCATGACTCTAGATGCATTTTTGCTTCCCTTTGATGCCATTAATGTTGTGACTCTTTCCTTGCCCCTCCCTCTTCACTTTATATACCTCAAACTAAAATGTTCACTCAACTTCTAAAAACTGTTCAGCAAGCCAAAAAGTCTTGTCTGCATAAACCTTTCTTAGGTGTGTTTCCCTGTCTTTGAAGTATGTTCTTGTATCTAAGAAATGCCTTCAAGTAATTCGCTACAAATGTTCATATTCATGGATCAATTCCTTTTTGTTGGGTTTTAAATATTTCATCCACATAAAAATCATTCTTATCACACAATTACAAGAACAAGATGCAATAAATCATTGAAGTAAGTTGCCAAACTCAGTTATGTAAGCAATAAAGTACTATGTAGTGGGGGCACACATGAAAACTAAAAGAAAATAAGAAGTAATATAAGGAACTAAAATTCTTTTTGAGGAAAAGGGCTCCAACCCCGATTCCATTTTCATTAAAATGAAACCATCACCAGGTCTTATACATCACAAAATAACCAAATCAGGGAATGAAGCCCAAATTCAAACCAACTACAAAAAGTAGCTATTACAGGGAAGCACTAGTAGAAAATGGGCCATTTGTCCCGGTTCAAGAGGGACTTTAGTCTCGGTTCTGGAACCGAGACTAAAGGGTCGGTACTAAAGCCCCCCCCCCCCTTGAGTCCCGGTTCTTACACGAACCGAGACTAAAGGCCCTCCACGTGGCCGCTGGCTAGAGCTCCACCTTTAGTCCCGGTTGGTAACAGCAACCGGGACTAATGATAATTTTACGGAATTTTTTCTCCTTGATTTTTTTATTTTTTCCTGATTTTTTAATTTCTGAATTATTTTATAATTTAATCTCTAATCACGCACCCTCATCACTACTCAATTTAACCTCTAATATCTAATCACCCCTCATCATTCCAAATCATCTAACTTCCCGGCCGGTCACCCATCCTCTCACTACTCCAGCCTGAGCACACTTAACTTTCGGGTTCTATTCCCCCTCGTTTCCAAGTCTGCACTTGTTGTTTTCCTGACAATAGTAAGATGTCAATCCTATTAACCCTCAGGAGTTTAGCTTGAGCATTAAGTCACACATTTCACCCTTTGAGTTTGAAACTATTATTCTAAAAATCAGTAATTATTTAGTAACACTAATATTTCTTGAATAAGTAGTTTGACCATAGTTTGACCAGATTTGACCAAAATTAAAAAAACTGAAATAATTATTTAGTAACACTAATATTCTTGAATAATTATTTAGTAACACTAATACTTCTGGAATAATTATTTAGTAACACTAATACTTCTTGAATAAGTAGTTTGACCAGATTTAACTAAAATTAAAAAAACTGAAATTTGAGCATAACTTTTTTTCCTTTTAGAATTTTAGGATTCTAAAAAATCGCAAACAGGCCATAGGCGGTCAAAATCAGATGCGGATTTTCGTGCTGAACATTTTGACATATTATACGTTTTTTCGTACATCGTATGCAAAAGTTATAGCCGTTTTACTTTTTCATAACACTTTTTTGCAGAACATGTCCAAATTTAAGTTTTTTAATTTTCCTAACTAGTAGATGTAGTAATATAACTACATCTCGAAGGATTTTATTTTTTGTAGTTTTTATCATTTTCTTTTATTTTTT